GAATAGAGGCAGAGAGGCGTGGATCTTAGGGAAATCAATACATAAGACCTGATAACATCACCTCAAAATCGGTCTTAGGAGAAATTGAAAGCATGTTCCTCCAGATTTAAAAAATTTCTGCAACCATTTTTATTTTTCTCCGAAAGAAATTGAGCCTAGACAACTCCCGTATTAGGCTGCTATAGCAGCTTGGATAGAGGGGTTCCTAATATATTCCCTTTCCCAATCCTTGGGATCCAAAATCTCTCGGTTGTGTCTTTTCCATAGAGGACAGAGTCACTATCAAAGACTTAAATCAAGCCTTTAAAACCTGAAAATGAGGACTCATTTCCTCTAAAAAAATGGATGGTGACTCCATCTTTTGAACCGATTATGAACTTCCCAGAGCTCACACATATCTTCTTAAACTATCTTTCCTACTTGTCAATGAGCCAATAACATGGTCCTCTCTTGGATTTTGAATGCCATTCACAAGGATCTAGCACCCAACATATTGTATGCAAACACAACGATGGTTGTTTAGAAGTACCTCAAGGAATGCTATTCCTTCGGTAATGTGCCACGTATTTATCACTTGCAGCGCTCTATTATGATGTTGTAGCAGAATAACCTATTGGTTGCCTCCTACCCTCAAGGGATATTGGGATGAGTTGCTCACTTATTCCCCACTTCCCTCTTGTTCACGTGCCGTAGCCACGGAGATCACCACTTAACACCAGAACCAACAACTCATATGCAATTTCTTGTGGATCTACATGAGACTTATTTGAGTGTCAAATTCCAGATCTTGATCTTAGATCCCTTGCCCACCATAGGAAAAGCATAGTCACTAGTGTAACTGGATGAAGCCCATTGTCTTATTCAAACACAAACTACCATCTCCCTCGACAAATGCAGCCTTGGTATCCAAGTTAGCTCCTACAACAAAAGTGGAACCCATTGGATCAACAAATGTTGGAGTTCACATCAACCCCCCACAACGTCCCACAAGACATCCTAGTCATATATTGGGAGCATCTCCCAATGATAAGTACAAAAAATAATGAGACATCATCAGGAGATGTTCCCATTATATGTTTGGGATGTGCTGTGGGATGTTGTGGGGCACCCCTTTGTGGGGGGTTGATGTGAATTCCAAATGGTGCTACAGGCAATAGAGCACCTAACTCCAACCACAAATGTTCATATTGCAATATCATCAACTCATCAACCATACAAGAGAAATTTGTTACAAATTGAATGTGTACCCTCCACATCTCATGACTGGGTGACAAACATAAGGGAAGCAGTGAACAGTGACAACCTAAGGAAGACTTACTAGAATCCTACCAAAATATCATCACTCCACCACCACTTACTATGGATCAGCACAACCAACTTATCAATATTTTTCATGAGGTAAAAAGTGGCTTGTCTATTGCAAATTTGGCAAGTATGGTTTCTCGCCACATAGCCTTCGTGTATGCATCCCATTGGGTGTAAATGGGTGTATAAACCGGTGTCTCCTTGCCATAGCTATAACTAAGGATTGGTTCGTATTTCAACTGGACATCAACAACACTTTCTTGCATGATGATTTAGATGAGAAGATCTATATGCAAATTCCTGGGAGCAGCGTGTCTTCCATCTTTGCAATTCAATTTATGGCCTTAAACAAGCTTTAAGTTCACTAATTTTGTTACTGCTTTAATCCATTATGGTTTCACTTAGTTCAAAGTTGATTGCACATTATTCACCAAATGCTCTGGCTCTTCCTTCACTATGGACTTCGTCTATGTGGAGGACATTGTAGTTGTTGGAAATGATCTAGCTCACATTACTAGCTTCAAATCCACCTTGCATTCATGGTTTCATCTCAAAGAATAGGGGCCATTGAAATTCTTTCTTCTTATGCCAATGAAAAACGTTTTATATTCTCTCTTAGATGCCTCTCTCATTGAATGCAAGTTTGCTTCCTTCCTTATGGAACAATGCAACCAATTAGACAAGGACCAAGGACCCTTCATGACCGAGCCCTCCATGTATCACCGCCTCACGGGTCATTCCAATACTTAATCATCACTAGGCCAGACAAAGTCTATATTGTCAGTCATCTTAGTCAATTTCTCAATGCACCTCGTAAAGCCCATTGGCAAGTAACCTTGCGCATCCTACACTATGTGAAAGCCACTACAGGCGCCACAACATCCTTCTCTATGCTCATAGACTCACATTTCACTCACCTTGAATACTTATAGCGAGAGTTATTTAGAGGTGTTAAGTGGGCCGTGCCAGGCCGGCATGGCATAGTTTGTGGGCGGCCTGTGCAAAGTGCGGGTTATGCCGTGCTAGCCTGCAGGCTATCACGGGTTGTGCCATCTTCCCCGATGAAAAATTTGAGGGTCGGCCCAGCATGACCCATGGCCCAGGCCCGTGGGCTAAGGCTTGGGCCAAGTTAGGTCGTGCATTGGACCAAAGCTATTTATTTAAAAAAAAAATTGACAAAAAACTTAAAATTTTAATTTTATATGAATTTTGTGTATAAAATTGCTTATATATACTATAGTTAAATAAATTAGTATAATAAAATTAAAAAAATATTTATTTTATTAATATATTATATACTATATATTATTATATAATATTATATAAAATGTATATAAATATATATAAAATATATATTATATATATTGGCCGTGCCGGCCCATGGACCTAAAACCTCAGGTCAAGCACGGCTCGCATGATTGTGCCGGGCCTGACACGGCCCGCGGACCATCGTATTAGGTCGGTCCAAATTTGTGTTGCCCTATGCCGGGCAGCGGGCAGCATGACCCGATTTACACCTCTAGAGTTATTGGGCTAATTGCTTTCTTCATTGCCGATTATTGTGTTTTTCTTGACAATAGTCTGATCTCTTGGAAGTAAAAAATAAAAAATGGAATATTGTCTCTCTCTCTCTCTTCTATTGAAATTGAATATCGTTCCATGGGTAGTTCAGTGGCTGGCCTACCTACTTTAGGACTTGGGTTCAAACATCTGGTGCGCATCTCTTTTGTGATAACAAGGTCACACTCTGTATTGCCAACAATCTGGTCTTCCACGAGTGAACTAAACTTATAAAAATTGATTGCCATTTTGTCTACGAGAAGGTTCACTTTGGCCTCATCAAGCCTTCTTACATTTCCATTGACATTCAAATTGCAGACGTCTTTACCAAGGTAATTGGAATCACCAGGAAGTTGGTGCATACCATTTATTTGTATTCCCCAACTTTAGAGGGAGTATTAACATATATCGTAAGGCTCATGCATATCATGTATATCCACATAACCGCCACTCTGAGTAGACCGTTCATGGGCCGGGTAGCCCAATGGGTTGGCTCGTCCCAACCTGTTATTAAATCGGGCTTGGTCATAATTTTAGGCCCACGAGTTTGGGCTCGGGCCTAAAGCACTGGGACCGAATTATTTTTGGGCCAGGCTCGGGCTTTCTGAAAAAATCCGGCCCAAGCCTGAGCCTAATTTGATACAATACATTAAATAATAAAAAATATATTTTATTTAATAAATATATATATATATATATAATATTTTTTCTTTGATTTTCTCTTATTTTCCAAGTAATAGTGAGATGTTTATTATTTTTGAGTTTTGAAAGTTTTTAATATAAATAAAATACTTTTTTATTGAATAAAAAAGAAAAAAAAATTATGTTTTCAAATTTCTGACTAGGCTCGGGCTTGGGCCTGGGCTTCGGGTTTTATATGATGGCTAGACTCGTGCTCAAGACTTAGGCCCGATGGTTGGGTTGGGCTCGGGCTCAGGCAAGAGTGTATTTTGTTGATACATATACAAAACCCAGCCCGAACCTGGCCTGGCCCAGCCCATGAACAGGTCAAACCCTGAGCCATATAAAACTCTCTCTCTTTCTCTCTCTCTCTCTCCCTCGCTGTTATATACTTAGTGTAATTGTAAATATTTTAGGGCAAATTGCTGAAACCTCCCTAAAGTTTATGACCATTGATGAAACGTCCTTTGAAGTTTGGTAATTGCGATCACCTCCCCTAAACTTTTAACATAGTTACAAATAAATCCCCTTTTATAGAATCTTCTAAAAGCATGAAAATGTCCAAAATACCTATATAGTTATTTTTGACTAAAATGTTGGTTTTCCAATTTTTTTTCTTCATATGAATGGCTAGCCCAAAAGCCCTTCCAATCTATTTTTGTAAAATTGTTTTATTTTTTTAAATTTATCTTCATATCAATCGTTCAAAGGTAAAGCTACAATTTTAAATTCTCATTTTTTTTGTTGTTTATAAATTTTGTATTGTTGTTTCTGAGAAAACCAGCTTCAATAAAAATTGTATATGGATATTTTAGACATTTTTGTACATCTTGTTAGAGAATTCTAAAGAGGTATAATTACATTAGATAGTTCAGGGGAGGTGATTGCCAAGCGCTTTCAGCTGAGGTCAGCAACTTCTGGGGAGGTTTCAGCTAAGGTCGAATTTCACACTTTTTTCTATCTTGGGTGTGGGTGTTGCGGCAATGCCCATGGGACCAGGCGCAATACACCATAGGGTGCACCGGGTAAACCTGCCTTTCCCCGGTTTGAACCCAATTCTTTCACCAAATTTTGAATGGCTTCGACCCGACGAGCCCAATGCCCGGCTGATGATGAACAGGTAGAGGAGGCAGGTTTACTTCTGCATACAAATCGGATTTGATGATCAAAGGCCGTACTCACAACTCCTTTGTAGGGTTGTAGCTATTACCCAAAAAAACTCCTTTGTAATCGTGTATTGGAAATATCTCTTTAAAAAATATATAAATACAAAAGATATTGCACGGCTGTAAATGGCTATGAAGAACGTTCTGTAAAGAGTCTAAAAGACCAAATCCGATCTCTCGATCATAGGAGAGATGAATTGCATTCTGCCTCTTATGTTAGTCTTTGTAAACCAATCTAGATCGTTAAAATTTAAAAGCAGGGAGATCCAAATTGAAGATCAATACAAATGAAATTGGTAATGGTAATTTCATTCATTGTAACTTTAATTAACTGCATAATGAAATTGAATACAAATGCCACATCTAAAGCTTCTTCTGTTATGTAATCTCACAATCATTCATACACTTCTTCTATGGTTTCTTTTTTCTACAAAGCATCAAGCAGCAAGCCAGCCTCATCAATAAATCAGCGGCAGGCCAAAGCCAAAGCCCAAAAAAAAAGAAAAAAAAGAAAAAGCCCAAAACTCAAGATCTAAATAAGGGCCCCACCCTTCACATATTCGGTGAAGACCAGTGCCACCAGGCCCAACATGGCGAACCTCCCGTTCCAGAGCTCTGCGTCGGACGTCATCAAACCCTTCGATTTCGACTGCACGTCGACTCCCTTGAACAACGGGATCAACGACGCAAGAGACAACACGGCCGTGGTCCCCAAGAACCATGTAAGCCCTCCGTTCGCCAATTGTGCCGCCACGTCGTCACCTTTGGCCAGCTCCACTGCCATCGCAGCTACAAACCCGATCATCGCAAGCCTGCCGTTGATCCTCTCGGGTGCGGGCCCACTGAACGCCAGCACGTCTGTAAATTTGGTGCTGACCTGTAGTATGTATTAGCACAAACACGAAACAACCAGATCAAGATTAAAGCATGCGTCAGTCGGACGATGAAGCTAACTTCCAAACTCACGCGCATGGGCAATCATAGAAACTCACCTTTGGTGAAGCAGAAGGGGAGGTGGGCTGGGGTGGTGACGGGGGAGCACTCACCGGCGATGACTTCTGCTCTTTCTGGCTTTCCTGGTACACCGACAAATAAACCAAAGATGTTAGGTGTTGGTGTTGGTGAACTAAAAGAAACGAAACCAGGGCCAAAGATTTAGCATATCTCTCAGCGACAAACGAGATRCMGGACTTATTACCTCAGCCATGCAGCGAACTTGCAGAGTGCAGCCATTCTTTTGTTGGCGTGGGAAGTATGTAGARGGGAAGACCATGCTTGATGGCCTGCMTCTGTGACCGAGGCGCCCCACGGCCACGGGGTTCACCAAGATGGATTGCATGGATACTGAGCTCGCCATCTGAACGATGATCGCTTTGAGGAGATTTGAATGAAAGCTAAATCGTCAGCACAAGAGCGAGAAACCGAGCGTTACGACTATCAGCTACGGCTAGCTTTCAAGTTTCAACTTGCTCGAGTAACCAACCATGCACTTCGTCTTGCGAGAATATGGGAGAGGAAATGTTTATATAGAATCCGGGAGCAGCACGAATGGTGGAAGATAGAGTTCCACGTCACCGATCTGGGCCTTCCCATTTATTTGATGTAACGTGGATGGCTTTGGCTTCGCATGAAGTAAGTAGGTGACGTGGGTTCCACATATACCAGGAACCTCTACAGAAGATTCTGGAGAGTGGAGGGTTCGAGGCCAAGAAAGTTCGAGGTTTTACGATTGTGCTTGCGTTGCGTTGGACCGTTGGGTAGATCGACCTTTTCCGGTAACATGTCATAAGTTCATAGAACGCCACGTAGTTGTAAAGATCTGTGATGGAGAGCTAAGCCGTAGAGCTTAGCCCAACTGCTAATTTCTCGGCCCAAGAAAACCATGTGTTTTTTTTTAAGATCCAAGCTGGCACATACCTAGATGTTAGATGTGTAAATTGGGCCGTGTCAAGGTACGGTATGATCGTGTGAACCGTAGGGCTATAAGTTCATGGGCAAGGATGGCATGGCACGGCCCACGGGCCCGTAATGGGCCGAGCACAACCTGCCCGACAAACTAGCCATCAGAGAATCCCCAATGGTTAGAGATGTAGCGCAATCTGGCAACTCTCACGTGTCTGATGATTCGGATGCCGATTCGAATGCTTGCCTTGTCGGTAGCTGAGCTATACTAGGCCGAGCTAAGGTTGGCTGAGCTGAATGGTTCCACAAAAGTGGTAGAGTTAGAGTACCCGGGTTGTTTTTACTCAGGGTGGGCACTCCGATGCTTAAGTCAACGAATTGTGCTTGAGAGTTCTTTAAGAGATAAAGAGAATGCGAGAGCTTGGGCGCGCCTACCTTCTCAAGTGAAAATGAGTGCTTTATATAGACATGAGTGGCCTGAGACCTCTTGCAACGGGACTTAGGTTCTCACTGAGCCGTTTCCGTGAAGTGGGGAGAGTAATGGCGTCTATTACGTAATTTGCACTAGGGCTGAGGTCCGTCAGATTAACTCTGATGCATGCGATGCGGTAGGCCAGCCTAATGGTCGACTCATTAGTACTCTAGAGATCTAGGACTGGTAACGGATCTATGTGACAAGTCAACAAGCTCGCCTTGCAGGTTGCCGAAGGTACTTCTCGTAGCTCAGCCGGTCTCTGAAGTAGGTCGCTATTTGCTGAGACCTATTAGCCCGGCTTGGCCGAGGTATTCGAGGTCGGCTTGGGCGAGGTGTTATAGGCCAACCTGTCGAGGTGATCCACTTACTTAGCACCGAGGGGTCACTTAAAAGCCACATGTCACTCCTGAGCCATCGTCAGCTCGGCGAAAGGAGTAGCTCTCAATACGGTAATTGGTTTGATTGGTTCAAAAGTTGTTCGCTCTCACCTGACCCGGTTCACGATAAGGCGGAACTGCAGTAGAATTCAAATTTCAAATGGGCGTGCTCAATGGATGCGCAAGATTTAAAATTCAATTAGCCCTTGCGCGGCAACGTCTTCTTGACCATTGATTTGCTAGTAGCGCACCTCAGCCATTGATTTTTCTTCCTAGTGGACTATAAATATGGGGTCCCCACTAAGGTCCCACTCGCACTATTTTTGGCCTTTTCTTCTAAAGAGGAGGGTGATCGATCAGAGGAGACTTCGATCGATGTGTTGCTGTCAGTTAACCTGCCGTAATCTTGTTCGTCGCCGGCACCGGCTTCCCTGTCTTTTTCCCTTGGTGAGTAATCTTCCTTTGTAAGTATGTCTTTCAATCCATCTGAGGGTAGGTCGCTAAATTTCCCGTGGAAGAGGGGGGGGAGTTCACCCCATGACGAGGAGGGTTTTCAGGCCAAGACTTTGTCATCTTAATCGAAGGCCAAGGTGGGGGCCCAAGAGGGGGAGTCACCCTTTGGGCCTACTAAGCTATCTGAAGAGTGAATAATCGAGCTGTATACCCTTTACCAAATCCCCAATGTGTTTGAATGTATCCAACCCGACCCCAACCATCTTCCCTGGAGTCACGACCGAGATGAGGTCTATGTCTTCGAAGAGGCGTTGGTCGCTGGTCTTCATTTTCCTTTACATCCTTTCATCCCTACGGTACTTTCTCATTATGGTGTCTCTTTAGGTTAGCTTCATCCCAATGCTAACCGAACTTTAGTAGGTTTGATTTCTTTAAGCCATCACCTCAACTATCCGTTGGATTTAGATATCTTTGTCGAGCTGTGTAATTTGAAGAAGGTTCCCAATGTGCCCTATTGCTTTTATCTTCCTTTCTACAAAGGTCACAATTTTTTAGATGGTTTTCCCTCGAAAGTCAAAGATAGGATGAATAGATATTTCTTCCTCTCTCATAGTACCAGTTGGAACATAGACACCATATGGTAGAGAGATTGCCGAAAATTTGATGTAGAGTTCGACGACGAGTTGTGATGTGAGTTCCAACGCCTTATGCGCCAGAACTTTAACGTAGAAAATTTTTTGGCCGAGAATATGCTTATTCGGGCCGGCCTGGGCCATATAGGTAGGTCAACCAACTTGCCTTTTGTACTTTGCTTTTCTTATTTATCCTTTAGCTTGGCTAATCTTTTTCCCACTTTTTTCAAATGTGGCGAGTATGGAATCACTTTTGGTGGAACCCAAGAAGAAGGCATCGAGGAAAAGATGAGGGTTGGTCGCTCATCGATGGACCTCGGCCAGTGCCGAGGTGAGGTCATCGTCGTTTGCTCCACCTGTCATTGACCTAGAGGAAGGTGGCAACCCTATGAGTACCGACCACGACTCTATGGGCCCTACTGCCTTTCAACCTCAGGTCAACCAAGAGGAACGTGCTGCCAGCCCTTGTACCTCTGACATACCCCACTTCGTCGCGAACGTTGACGTTTCTATACTCGACCGCCTTAATGACCCATATGTGGCCCTCCAGATGGGAAGAGGCATGCTACTTTCGGAAGACGTGCGTTATTACTAGGGCTTGGACCCAACCGACGTTGGAGCTCAGATGACTCATTGTATCCTTCAGGTTTATCTTCCAGCCTTTTGAAGCTTTTGTGTTTTAGTTATGTAGTTCTTGTGCTGATTATGTTTTTCTTCTTTTGGTAGGCGAACACCATGAGGAATGTACTGCTGGATCAGGTCGCCTCAGGTCGGAGAGAGAGGCTTGAGCTGTAGTCTAGCGTCGATGCTCTGTAGTTTTAGATGCGAGGAATCCAACTTAATGCCAAGGAAGACTGTCAGCGATTTATCCAGCTGAGTAGTAAGATATAGCGCGAGTATGACGAGGCCCGAGAGACCATTTCCGCCTCGGAGTGCCAACTAGAAGAGAGGCAGGCAAAGTATACAGAAGATATCCGCCGAGAAGAACTGGTAGCCAATGAACGTTTCCATGACTCCCTTGAATATGCCTAGGAAAAAGTGGAGAACGTAGTCCCCGTAATGAGAAGGGGATTTAAGCTTTGTCGCCGCTACTTAAAGACTCTGCATCTTGATTTTGACTTCAGCACTTTCTCTATCAACGACATGTCGAATGAGCTCGTTCTGCAAGTCGATAGGGAGCCCTTGACTCCTGATGAAGATGAAGAGGTAGCTAGTGCAAAAGAAGGTGAGGAGAGTGACGATGTCAATGGTGAGCTGCGAGGCGGTGATGAAGGAAAGGTCAGCCTTGATGTTGGTTGTTTCCTTCTGTTGTTTCCAAGAGCTTGTGTGCTCCTATAAGTTGATGTTTCTTGAGCCTGTGCATCCGTGTTATCAAACTTTTGTTATTGGAGGATTTTCCTCTTTCTTTTCTCTCTTCTTTCTCTTCTTTTTTTTTGGTACTTCGACTACGTACTTGATGCAATTCGCTTTGTTTCTATACATGTATGATTTCTCTACTGATGAAAATTTTATATCTTAGACTTTGGCCGAGCTGCTAGTAAGTTGTCCTGCGTGCCTTAGTGATAAAAGCGATTTAGCATCACTTAGGCTTCTTTTAGCCGAGCTGCCGGGAGGTCAGCTTAGGTGCCTTAGTACTAAAAGCGATTTGGAATCCCTTAGATTTCTTTTAGCCAATCTGCTGGGAGGTCGGCCTGGGTGCCTTAGTGCTAAAAGTGATTTGGCATCCTACGTAGCTTAGAACTCTTCATAGATAGTATTTCTTTAAGTTGTCTATGTTCCATGTGTGGGATACCATCTTCCCCTCCAATGTTTTGAGCTTGTATGTGTTTCCATCGATAACTCTGAAGATTCTATAAGGGCTTTCCTAGTTCGTGCCAAACTTTTCCACACTGGGCTCAGGTACCATAACCTTCCTGAGTACTAAGTTGCCAACTCTAAATTGGCGTTTCTTGACTCAGGCGTTATAGTAATGAGCCACTCCTTGCTGGTACGCTGCGGTTTGAATGTAGGTGAGGTTTCAAACTTCTTCTATTAAGTCGAGGTTAGTCCGTAAATCGTCCCCGTTAGTGTCTTCATCAAAAGTTTCGGACCATAAAGTTGGTACCTTGATCTCTGTTGGTATCACGATTTCAGTTCCATATGTCAGGTTGATGGGCGTTTCATCTGTTGCCATCTTGATGGTCGTTCATTAGGCACATAACACGTTGGGTAGATCGTCCACCCACAAACCTTTAACTCGGGAAAGTTGAGCTTTGAAGCTACGGAGGATCGCCCTGTTTTTAGCTCGGCTTGACCGATGGCTTGAGGATGTGCGGCTGAGGTGAAGTTCTACTTTATGCCCATCTTCGTGCACCAATTCTAAAATTTGATATCTTCAAACTGTTTGCCGTTGTTTGAGATCAGTACCCTTGGTAGTCCAAATCTGCATACGATACTCCTCGG